TCAGGGAAAGCAGGAGGGAGATTGGGAACAGGACTGGAAATGGATGCGCCAGGAATTGATGCTGATGCTGCTGATGCTGTTGTTGCTGTTGATGATGTGGTTGATATTGCTGTCGCTGTGGCTGTTATTGTTGTTGTTGTTGCTGCTGTTTCTGGTTCTGATGTTTGCTGATGCTGTTGTTGATGTGGTTATATTGCTGTCGCCGTGGCTGTTATTGTTATTGTTGCTGCTGTTTCTGGTTCTGATGTTGTTTGCTACGGTTGTTGCTGTTGTTGTGGTTGATATTGCTGTCGCTGTGGTGTTGTTTGTTATTGTTGTTGCTGCTGTTTCTGGTTCTGATGTTGTTTGCTGCTGCTGTTGTTGTTGATGTGGTTGATATTGCTGTCGCTGTGGCTGTTGTTGTTTTTGTTGTTGCTGCTGTTTCTGGTTCTGATGTTGTTTGCTACGGTTGTTGCTGTTGTTGTGGTTGATATTGCTGTCGCTGTGGCTGTGGCTGTTGTTGTTGTTGCTGCTGTTTCTGGTTCTGATGTTGTTTGCTGCTGCTGTTGTTGTTGATGATGTGGTTGATATTGCTGTGGCTGTGGCTGTTATTGTTGTTGCTGCTGTTTCTGGTTCTGATGTTGTTTGCTACGGTTGTTGCTGTTGTTGTGGTTGATATTGCTGTCGCTGTGGCTGTTGTTGTTATTGTTGTTGCTGCTGTTTCTGGTTCTGATGTTGTTTGCTGATGCTGCTGCTGTTGTTGATGTGGTTGATATTGCTGTCGCTGTGGCTGTTTTGTTATTGTTGTTGTTACTGCTGTTTCTGGTTCTGATATTGCTGTTTTTGTTCTTCTTGGTGGTGTGGTGGTGGTACTGTTGTTGGTGGTGGTGGTGTTATTGTGGTGGTGGCGTGGTGCTGGTGGTGATAGTTGTGTTGGCGGTGGGTGATGCATGTCGGTGTGGATGTGAAGCTGATCTTGAACTGACTAATATAACAGACTTGTCCCTAACAAAGTGACCCCAACCACAGTGAAAACAGACCCTATAAAACCTATCCTGAAAACAAACAAACAAACAAACACATTAAACAACCACCCACCACAAAAAAAAGAAAAACCGATATCCCCCCAAAAAAACACATTTTTTGAACAAACAGAACAATAATACCCTTAAATAACCTTAATCACCAGCCCCTTAACGACCGCAAAAAAGGGGAACAAGGTGACCCATTAACTTGGCCCATTAACCTAGGATTCACGACCCTCTCTCGGGACCAGCTGTGCCTCTCTCGGATCATCTGTACCTCTCTCGGGACCAGCTGTGCCTCTCTCGGGACCAGCTGTGCTCTCTCTCGGACCAGCTGTGCCTCTCTCGGGACCAGCTGTAACTCTTTCGGACCAGCTGGATCTCTCTCGGATCATCTGTACCTCTCTCGGGACCAGCTGTGCCTCTCTCGGACCAGCTGTACCTCTCTCGGGACCAGCTGTGCCTCTCTCGGACCAGCTGGATCTCTCTCGGATCATCTGTTCTCTCGGACCAGCTGTGCCTCTCTCGGACCAGCTGTGCCTCTCTCGGACCAGCTGTGCCTCTCTCGGACCAGCTGTGCCTCTCTCGGACCAGCTGTAACTCTCTCGGGACCAGCTGTACCTCTCTCGAGACCAGCTGTACCTCTCACGACCAGCTGTGCCTCTATCGGGACCAGCTGTACCTCTCTCGAGACCAGCTGTACCACTCTCGGATCTGTACCTCTCTCGGGACCAGCTGTAACTCTCTCGGAAAATCGGAGAAATCATGCCCGGTTTCACATTCCATCTTCTAAATGTTTAGCCTTTTTTCTACTTCTTTTCAATTTTCTATTCCTTTTTAGCCAATTCCACTTCTAGAATGGGATATAATTACTTTTAAATTGACTTATATCATAGCATCAATGACGAAAATAAACAATAAGAAACATCAACAAGTCAACAACAACATAAACTCCAAAACACAACTAAATAAACAAACCGACAAACAATCAAACACAACAAACCACACACACACAAAAAAAACAAATAAACCCAACCGACCAAAATTCAGCCCCCCCAAAAAAATCAAAAACTATTTTTCCCTTCCATGACTTTTTTCCCCCAACTGCAATGTTGCGATTTCCATTCTGACTTCATCTGCGTCCACCACAAAGGCCCAAATTGGTTAGTTGTTTACGCAAAAGGTCATAAATGCTCATTATCGTTGGCTCATCCATCATCGGCCGGCGGTGATGACAGTGAACAAAGGTTTGTGTAGTGTGTGTGTGTGTAGTGTGTGTGTGTGTGTGTGTGTGTGTGTGTGTGTGTGTGTGTGTGTGTGTGTGTGTGTGTGTGTGTGTTGTGTGTTGTTGTGTGTAGTGTGTGTGTGTGTAGTGTTGTGTTGTGTGTGTGTGTGTGTGTTGTGTGTGTGTGTGTGTGTGTTGTGTGTGTGTGTGTGTGTGTGTGTGTTTGTGTATAAATAAATATAATACATTATATTTTATTATTATCATATTATATATATAATATATATATATATTATATATATATATATATAATATTATATATAATATATATCTACGCATATTATATATCATTTATATATATACATATATATCTGTAATTATATATTATTCATATATTATATTATTTAGATAGATAGATAGAAAGAATAAAAGATGCACCAATAACAATAAATAACAGTAATAGTATAATAATATAATATAATAATAATAATAATAAAATAATAATAATATAACAATAACAATAATTATATCAACAACAACAACATAATAACAACAACTAACGGCAGCATCGCAACAAAATAATAATAATGACGAGAAAAGCCCGTCCGCTTTCCCGAGGCCGACAAGGAAAAGGCCGAACAGGGACACCGCCGAGCGAATCGGAAACGTTGCAGTATCCGCGAGCGCTTACTTGTTATTGCTTGCCTTCGACCCCACCTCCACTCCCCCCCTCTTGCCTCCTGCCCCCATCTCGCCATCTTCTTCGCCCCCCCTCTTCCTGTTGCCTCCCCTCCTTCGACCCCTCCTTCCTGTTGCCCTCCCCTCCTTCGCCCCACCACCCTTCGGCCCCCTCCCCCCTCCCCCACCCTTTTCGGCCCTCCCTCCTTCGCCCCTCCGCCACCCCTTCGCCCCCCTCCTCCCATCACCCACTCCTTTCGCCCCCAATTAGCTTTCTCCTCGAGTCCTGACGTCGGGGTGTCAAGACTTCCTGCACCAGCGGCGGCCAATGCATTGGGGGGGGGGGGGACCCATCGGGGTCTGGGCGCCGAAACGGACAGCGTTCCCTCTTTTTCTATCTTTGTGTTTGTCTTTCTTTCTTTCTTTCTTTTCTATTCTTTTTTCTCTCTTTCCTCTTTCTCCTTGCCTCCCCTTCCCCCTTTCCTTCTTCATCTCCTCCTTCCCCTCCTCTCCTCCTCCTTCTCCCCTCTCCCTCCCTCCTTACCTCCCTCCCTCCCTCCCCTCCCCTCTCTCCCTCCCCTCCCTCCCCTCTCCCTCCTTCCTCCTCCTCCTTCTCCCTCCCTCCCCTCCCTCTCCTCCCCTCTCTTCTCCCCTCCCTCCTCTCCTCCCTCCCTCCCTCCCCCCTCCTCCTCCTCCCCTCTCCCTCCTCCTCTCCCTCTCTCCCCTCCTTCCCCTCCCTCCCCTCCCTCTCCCCCTCACCGTCTCAATTCCAGTTCACCCTTTTCTCCTCCTCACCGCACACGACAAAACATCCAGCCGTGTTGACAAAGGCAGAAAACACCAGCATATCAAACAGGGTTAATTGGAAGACGAGAACGCACGTCTCAAGGTGGCAGTCTGATCTCGAAATTGTTTGTCGCCTTTCGTTTAAGATTTTGATTATCGTGGCATTTGTCTATGTATTTGTTGTATTTCTTGTTTTAACAATATTCGTCTTCATCAATATCATTATCACTATTATTAATATCATTAATGATTTACAACTGATACTGCTAATAAGAAGAATAACATGTTCTTATCATCAACCCTAATACAAACTTCAAAAAATCACGTATGGAAAAAAAGAACAAATAAAAAACAAAGGAAAGAAAAAATAACAAGAAAAAGAAGAAAAGAAAAAATACCAACGAAAAAAGAAAGACAAGAAAAAAGAATAAAGAAATAAAAAAAAAGTAATACCACACCAAACACCCGTAAAGCTCACGAACACGTGCTCGAAGCCGAACAAAACGACCTTAATCGCTTCGAACCGCTTTGCCTTGTGCCTTGGCCGCGCGGGGCAAAGCTTCATAACCCACAAGAGACTTTCGTTAAGGCCACTCCAGCCCCGCGCACAAGCAGAGGCCCAAGCACAAGCAGAGGCCCAAGCACAAGCAGAGGCCCAAGCACAAGCAGAGGCCCAAGCACAAGCAGAGCCCAAGCCAAGCAGAGGCCAGGCACAAGCAGAGGCCCAAGCACAAGCAGAGGCCCAAGCACAAGCAGAGGCCCAAGCACAAGCAGAGGCCCAAGCACAAGCAGAGGCCCAAGCACAAGCAGAGGCCCAAGCACAAGCAGAGGCCCAAGCCCAAGCAGAGGCCAAGCACAAGCAGAGGCCCAAGCACAAGCAGAGGCCCAAGCACAAGCAGAGGCCCAAGCACAAGCAGAGGCCCAAGCACAAGCAGAGGCCCAAGCACAAGCAGAGGCCCAAGCACAAGCAGACAAAGGTGGTTATTTCGCTAGCACAAATACCGGTCTTTGTGGGTCGATCTGATGTGTCCTTGCTGCTTAATTTCTGTTCTTTTCCCTCTTTGATTTCTATTTTGTCCTTTCTGCTTAATTTTCTTTCTTTCTTTCTTTTCTTGTTTAATTTCCATTTTGTCCTTTCTGCTTAATTTGTTTTCTTTCTCTCTTTCTTTCCTTGCTTTAATCTCCATTTTGTCATTTCTGCTTTATTTCCATTTAGTCCTTTTCTGCTTTATTTCTATTTTGCCTTCTTCTGCTTAATTTCCAATTTGTCCTTCCTGCTTCATTTCTATCTATACTTTGAGGGTCGCTCTGATGGGCCGCGTCGAGGAACAGGTCTGCACGTGTCCTTGCTGCTTAGTTTCTATTTGTTCCTTTCTGCTTGTTTTCTATTTGTCCTTGCTGCTTAATTTGTTCTTTTCCCTGCTTGATGTCTGTTTTGTCCTTTCTGCTTACTTTCTGTTTTTTTCTCTCTCTCTTTTCTTGCTTAATTTCCATTTTGTCATTTCTGCTTAATTTCTATTTTTCTTTCTGTCTTTCTTTCTTTTCTTGCTTAATTTCCATTTTGTCCTTTCCGCTTAATCTCCATTTTGTCATTTCTGCTTTATTCCCATTTAGTCCTTTTCTGCTTTATTTCTATTTTGCCTTTTTCTGCTTCATTTCCAACTTGTCGTTTCCTGCTTCGTTTCTATCTATACTTTGAGGGTCGCTCTGATGGCCGCGTCGAGGAACAGTTCTGCACGTGTCCTTGCTGCTTAATTTCTATTTGTCCTTGCTGCTTGATTTCTGTTCTTTTCCCTGCTTGATTTCTATTTTGTCCTTTCGGCTTAATTTCTGTTTCTTTCTTTCTTCTTTTCTTGTTTAATTTCCATTTTGTCATTTCTGCTTAATTTGTTTTTTTTATTTCTTTCTTTCTTTTCTTGCTTAATTTCCCTTTTGTCCTTTCCGATTAATTTCCATTTTGTCATTTCTGCTTTATTTCCATTTAATCCTTTTCTGCTTTATTTCTATTTTGCCTTTTCAGCTTAATTACCAATTTATCCCTTCTGCTTCATTTCTATTCATACTTTCAGCTCAATTTCTACCCATGTCTTATTTTTTCTTTCTTCTCAAATAAACTTCACAAACTAAATTCTCAAAAGTCTTGAATAAACCTTTTAAAAAATATCTTTTACAAACACAAAACTGTATCTCTTTCACAGCCAAGAATACCTACTTCCTCGAGCTATTTTTGCCACACTACGAACTTTAAATATTTCGAAAGACACAAGATCCCGTAAAATCGCAAATATAACATAAAATCTAAAAGTCTATCCATCACTGTTTCGATCACGTGATTTTTTACACGTTATTTTACTGAAATCGTCAAATCAGTTCAACAACCACACAAAAGGTTTCGCATCCCCCCCCCCCACCACCCCCGCCCAGGCTCTCTATTTCGATCACGTGATTTTTTACACGTTATTTTACTGAAATCGTCAAATCAGTTTAACAACCACACAAAAGGTTTCGCATTCCCCCACCCCCACCCCCACCCCTTCACCCCCGGCTCTCTAAACTACGCCATAAAGAAAACCCTAAAATACCATCCAGACTGCATCTCAAATGGTATAAATGGAATAACATCTGTGCAAATCGCGGATGTAGTAACAAAGAAAAGAAAAAGAAAAAGAAAAAGGCAAACGGTAAACATGTTTTGCTTTCTTGGGCGGCGTAAACAGCGTGGGCGTGAACACGCTCCGGGACAACGCTGGCGAAGGGTTGGGGTGTGAGTGCATCCCCTCCCCCCTTCCCTTTTCCTTCCATTCCCTTCCTTTCCCCTTCCACTCCCTTCCTTCGTCCTCCCCTTCCTCTTTCCTTCCATTCCCTTCCTTTGACCTCCCCTTCCTCTTTCCTTCCTTTCCCTTCCCTTCCCCATCTCCTCTCCCTTCCTTCGTCCTCCCCTTCCTCTTTCCTTCCTTTCCTTTCCCTTCCCTTTTCCTCCTCTCCTCTCCCTTTTCATTCCCTTCCTTTTCCCTCCCTCTTCCCCTTTTCCTTTCTCTTTCCCTCTCCCTCCCCCCTTTTCCTTCCTTTCCCTTCCCT